ACGCGCACACGCGCACACGCGCACACGCGCACACGCGCACACGCGCACACGAGCACACGCGCACACGCGCACACGCGCACACGCGCACACGCGCACACGCGCACACGCGCACACGCGCACACGCGCACACGCGCACACGCGCACACGCACACACGCACACACGCACACACGCACACACGCACACACGCACACACGCACACACGCACACACGCACACACGCACACACGCACACACGCACACACGCACACACTTTGGTGCATTTTGCTTGGATGTTAGGACTTTAACAACTGTTTGCCAGCTAATGAGTTTGCCATTAAACCACTAAAAGTTAAACTTTTAGCAGGGGAGCAGAAAGCACCCGCAGACACACACACACACAGCTTCACGTTTCTTGTGTCCCGCCGAGGAAGCTGATCCGCACGGAGAGCGAGGGCATCCTGTGCATCTTGTCCACCGAGATGGCTATGAACCTTTGGCGCATTTTGCCAAGGGATGTTAGGACTTTAACTTGTTTTTTGCCAACTAATGGGTTTTCCGTTAAGCCATCAAACCATCAAACCATTTAACTTTTTGCTAGCTTTAACTTGAGGGTTTTCCATTAGACCACGAAAGGCTAAACTCTCAAAACCACTAAGCCACTAAACCAGGCCGTGGGTTTTCCATGAAACCACTAAAGGTTAGCCACTTTTTTAGCAGAGGCAAAAAGAGCGACCTAGGAACGAGAGCGAGGCGGAGCTCTCTATCGCGCCCCTGGTGATGCAGGCTGCTTCCGGGAACGGGCCGCAGAAGCGTTGCGGGGAGAAAAGCGTCCGGGAAGGAAGCGTTCGTCGGGTTTGGGGGTGTGGGTGGAGGTGGGGGTGGGGGGTGGGTGGGGGGTGTGGGTGGGGGGGAGGGGTGAAGAGAAAACACGAGGACGAAGGCTTCCGGCTTTCTACTGACAAATGAAGGTTATATATGGTCCATATGTATATATATATATATATGATTTGTTTTTCTCCGTGGGTTTTTTTCTTGTTAGAATAAAGTTCACCAGAGATATGCCCTCATATTTTTTTCCATCGGACGAACAAAATGGTGCAGCGTCCCTCCCCCCCCTCCTCCGCGCGATTTCTGAACGTCGTACTTTGAACTGTACCCCGGTGTATTAGTGGCCTCACTTTTTAGCGCAACAGGGAAGTATTTTTTGATGGGTTTCAACATATGTCAATCAAGTCGTATGCCCAGTTTGTTTTTTTGCTGGGTGGGGAGGGGGAGGGGGGGGGGGTTGAGGGACTCCAAAGAGATGCATGGAGGGCCCTTCTTTGAGCATGTGATTTCTGCACCTTGAAAGGCTCTAGCCGTATCTTCCATGTCTATGTTTGTTGGAACCTTGTGCCCACGAAGGATTCAACGATCAAACCTCCAATTCAAACCGATCAGCCATCTAGAGGCCTCACCAACTCAGAATCTTGGTGGTTCTTCAGCCATCCCCAGCAAGTGTTCTAGGAGTTTTGGCTGCTATAGTGGATGGGTTGCCGTATTTTAATGAACTCATAAGTGCGGATCGGAAAACGGACGGCCCAGGACATTACTTTACATGTATATATATATATACAATGGAACTAAGCCCATATTCTTTTCTTGGTGCAAGCCCATGGGTTTTGATTGGGTCCAAGAAAGAAATCGCCAGGTGAGCAAGGACAAGGGCATCTTCTTCGCCTCCCCGGGTGGGGTCTTGGCGTGCTCCCAGCCCTTCCGCAACGGCACCTGGGTCCATGGGGACTTCGATACCCAGGCGTGGTTGAGGGCTGGGGGGGGGTGGGGTGGGTAGGGGGTCAACGGGGAGTGGGTGGGGGTGGGGGTGGGTGGGGGTGGGTGGGGGTGGGTGGGGGTGGGTGGGTGGGTGGGGGTGGGTGGGGGTGGGTGGGGGTGGGTGGGGGTGGGTGGGGGTGGGTGGGGGTGGGTGGGGGTGGGTGGGGGTGGGTGGGGTGTGCCAAAGAGGGTAGGGGTGGGTGGGGTCAAAGGGCCAAAGGGGGTCAACGGGGCGAAGTCATGGACAAACTGCCGCAGTTGTCCACGGATGGCGGCCTTTGGGGTCAACATACCAACTCGTGCAAGAGTTTGTCATGAGGGCACTCTTTTGGGTTGATTCTCAGTGAACCTTGCTTTCAGGCCTTTGACTTTAAGGCGTGCCCTGGCGCAAAAAAGCTTTGCCCTGCTTGAGGCCCCGGTGCTTCAGGTTTGTCCATCAGTGGCCAAAGATCCAGGGCCAATTTGGCCAAGGTGCAATTTCTGACGCCAGGTCATGCCAATGGCCACTTGTTTTGGCCAACCGCTTGTAGAGAATTGGCTAACTTCACGCTCGTGGCCAGGTGGTCGTGCAGGTTCTGAAGTTGCTGCTGAAGGACATGGACGAAGACGCCGACGACGTGGACGACATGGACCGAAGCGAAACGAAGCGAAAACTTGCTGGTGATCAGTAGGGAATGAGGGAATGAACCTGGCGATTCCCTTAAAGGAAGCCACAAGGGATCATTCCCTCATTCCCTACTGAGCACCAGCAACAAACTGTTGGAGGGGGGGTCTGTTGTTGGGGGGGGGGCTGTTGTTTGTCGGCGGTCGCACCTTTTGACACTTTATATCAAGTAGTTTGGGTTCTGAGCCTATTCCATAGTTAGTCTAAGACATGAAATCGTTTGGGAGACCGCGTTAACAACAAACAAAAAACGAACCTTAGGTGCTCCCACCCCCAAGCATCCCCACCCCTTTAAACATGAAATGGGGGGGGTCGACCCCGAAAGCGCTTGGGGGGGCGAACTCGTTGCATCATGTTCCCCTCCTGGCTGTAGTCTACCAAACCCAACCCCCGAATGATTTAGACCCCCCTGAACCCTCCACCCACCCATAAGCAAGTTGGAATTCGCCAGTTCCGTAATTTTTGGGTTGCAAAACTCATTTAGGTTGGACTTTCTATTGGATCCCCTACATCCATCGCCTTTTTCGGCTCGGCTCTTGCCGCTCGAAGCGGGAGGACCTTGCAACCTTCCGAGCGCTGCTGCGGCTGCACCAATGGCTGGCTGGGCCCTTTCTACGCCGTGCTGCAAAGTTCAACGATGTGCAGGCGGATCGGCGGATGCCGATGGGCTCCAACGACCGGATCCGATGTTTTTTCTTCTTCTCCCTTTAGGGCTGTTTCGTTTTACTAGGGCTGGGTTGGTTGGTGGGTTGGTTGGTGGGTTGGTTGGTTGCTTGGTGGGTGGGTGGGTGGGTTGGTTGGTGGGTGGGTGGGTGGGTCGGTGGGTTGGTTGGTTGGTTGGTTGTTTGGTTAGTCAGATGGATGGATGGATGGATGGATGGGTGGCTTAGGGCTTCCTCCATTTCGCTTCTTGGAACCTCCAGGTATGAAACAAGTCGGGAGCCACACCCATAGCCCCTTGAAAACTTGGGACCCTATACACGCGCTGGACCCCAACAAATCCCAAATGGGTCTGTCTTTTTGAGGGGTACGGTTTTTTTGGGGGCAGGTTTAAACGGATGCCAAAAGGACACCAATCATGTTATCTTTTTTGTTGGGCCTCCTATATTGAGAGAAACCCGGATAAACCAGCCATTGACAGCCAAACTTGTGTGTCAACATATTGCGCCTCCAGGCTGAACCCCCTTTGGCGCCCCATTTGTTCGCAGGCCATCAAGGACATCTGCTCCTTGCCCGGGCTGCGCCTCACTTCCGACACCATGAAGGACCAAAACGACGAGCTCGGCTTGGTGTTGAAGGGTATCTGGACCCTCAAAAAATATCCACAAAGCAGTTGGAAGCCATGCATTTCCATAGACCAAAGGGAACTGCCATTGGTTGGGGTCCTATACGACACACCCGTCTGGTATTTTTATTCAGGCAGCTTCCGGAAGCGTTCCGGCGGCTCCGGCTTCAAAGGAGAGACACGTAGTGGATCGCAGCCACTTCCACCCGGGTTCCCCAAAGTTGGAGCCGGTGTATTGGGGCGTGGCGATCTATTTTCCTCCATTTGCGGATTTGTTTTCCCCTGTTGGCTTTGAAGGGACTCTACTACTATTGGCTATACTCTTTATGTTTTACCGGGGGGCGTATTCGCAAATGGAGGTTTTGGGTGTGTATTTGCGTTTACTAAGACCAGAAAAACCTCCGCGAGAGTTTGCCTCGATCTTGGCCATCACGAATCATGTTCCAGCAAAAGGGGATTTCAAGAAAGGAACCTTCCCGGGAATGTAGAAGTAGAATACTGGTTGCTTTTCCAGGGCTCCTTAAAAGAAATTCATTTTGCAGCCATTCGAAACATTTGGCTTTTTCTACCGAAACAAAGGGAAACCACCATTTGCAAGGCACTGTTCAGGTGTAAAATGTAAGGATCCCTGTTTTCTACATAAATGAGTGTGTCCTTTTTTGGAGTTGGTACCCCTTTGTCGCTGGTTTTCAGGGGAAACCCAAGCAATATCACCGAAAGCGCCGTTTCGCGGGTTCATCCAGAAAGAAAGATCAGACACCGCATGGAACACCTTTTTCCCCGCTCTGCTCCCTCCTCTCCAAACCCTCTCCCTCCCCTCGAAAAACCCTAAACCCTAAAAACCCAAAACCCTAAACCCTTCAAAACCCTAAAAACCAAAAACCCTCAACCCTTAAAAGCCCTAAACCCTAAAAACCCCAACCCCCCCAACCCCCCCCCCCCCCCGGCGCGCGCTCCCTGGCCGACCGCTCCCAGCCGGCCGAGATGTCGCAGAGGACAAAATGAAACCACCAGGATAGGGGCCGCAGGTTTTGGGCCATGTTTCCACTTAATTGGGCAAGCCATTTGATAAGTACCCGTTTGACAACCACAGGCATTTGAGCCTTGTCCTCAAAACCCGGCGATAGATGAAGGGTAAGGGACAATTTTAGCCAGAAAGCGGTCGCCTTTGTATTTCCTCAAGCATTCTACAAAACCTGGAGTCTCCATGACCGCTTCCCTTGGCGCTGGTTCTCCCCCCCCCCCTAAACCCTCTCTCCCCTCCCCCAAACCCTCCCCCTCCCCTCTTTTTTTTCTCCGACTCTCCCCCCCCGGCCGACCGCTCGCTCCTGGCCGACCGCTCCGAAGCTGGCCGAGACGAGGACAACTTGGGCCGCGTGCCGCTGCACGTGGCCATCGCCTGCGGCTCGCGGGAGGCCATGAAGGCGAGCGAGGGAGACCGGGGCCGGACCCGGAGCGAGGGCTTCCCGGGAAACCGAGGCGCAAAGGATGAGACACCCTCCTTCCCCCCTCAAAAAAGAAAAAAAGCAGGAAGGAAGGAAGGAAGGAAGGAAGGAAGGAAGGAAGGAAGGAAGGAAGGAAGGAAGGAAGGAAGGAAGGAAGGAAGGAAGGAAGGAAGGAAGGAAGGAAGGAAGGAAGGAAGGAAGGAAGGAAGGAAGGAAGGAAGGAAGGAAGGAAGGAAGAAGGAAGGAAGGAAGGAAGGAAGGAAGGAAGGAAGGAAGGAAGGAAGGAAGGAAGGAAGGAAGGAAGGAAGGAAGGAAGGAAGGAAGGAAGGAAGGAAGGAAGGAAGGAAGGAAGGAAGGAAGGAAGGAAGGAAGGAAGGAAGGAAGGAAGGAAGGAAGGAAGGAAGGAAGGAAGGAAGAAGGAAGGAAGGAAGGAAGGAAGGAAGGAAGGAAGGAAGGAAGGAAGGAAGGAAGGAAGGAAGGAAGGAAGGAAGGAAGGAAGGAAGGAAGGAAGGAAGGAAGGAAGGAAGGAAGGAAGGAAGGAAGGAAGGAAGGAAGGAAGGAAGGAAGGAAGGAAGGAAGGAAGGAAGGAAGGAAGGAAGGAAGGAAGGAAGAAGGAAGGAAGGAAGGAAGGAAGGAAGGAAGGAAGGAAGGAAGGAAGGAAGGAAGGAAGGAAGGAAGGAAGGAAGGAAGGAAGGAAGGAAGGAAGGAAGGAAGGAAGGCAGGAAGGAAGGAAGGAAGGAAGAGGAAGAAGAAGAAGAAGAAGAAGAAGAAGAAGAAGAAGAAGAAGAAGAAGAAGAAGAAGAAGAAGAAGAAGAAGAAGAAGAAGAAGAACAAGAAAAAGAACACACCAAAACCCAAGACAAGAAAAGAGAAGGAAGACATCATATGACCTACTAGTTCGGGCCTACATAATTCGAGCCGGATCTTGGGGTGGCGGGCTTCTTCAAATGCAACTCACCACCATTGCCATACTGTGCGTGGACAAAATCCTGCACCACTTTGAAACCATGTAAAACCATTGCTTGTTGGTATATAATTGCAGGGGAATCATCATTCCGGGGGTTTCTTAGGTAGTCCGACATGGATTCACCCATCCACAGAGTTCAAGTGCCTATTGCCCCCTTGCACTCTCGTAAGATTCCATTGGGTGTTTTTCCCTTTCGGTTTCCCCCCGAAACTTGAAGCACACGCCCTTGCTCCCCGACTTTGTTGCCTAGTGGCGCCCTTTTTTTGCTCCTTTTTTGGGTAAGGGTTCCGGTTCCTTTAAACTCAACCAACCAAGAAGGCCTGATTTTTTGGCTTCCACTCACTCCAATTGGGGGGGTGGGGTTTCGAGCAATGTGGCGGAACCAACCAAGGAGGGTGTCGATTGGAAGGAGCACCTGATTTTCGGGGAAACGGAAAGGGAAAACATACTCAATGGAATCTTACTGGAGCACAAGGGGCCACTGGGCAGGTGCTGATTGGGAAAAACACCCAATGGAAATCTTGGGGGGGTGGGGTCTTGAGCAATGTGGCGGAACCCACTTTTCCCTTTTTTGGGGGTAAGGGTTCGGTTCTTTGTAAGCTCAACCAACCAGAAAGGGTGCCGATTCACACCGACCGCCAGGTGCTCCTGGAGGCGAAGATGGATCCCAACGTGGAGGATAACATGAGCGACCGCCCACTGCGCGGAGCTCGGAGGAGTCGGCTCAGACTTACTCGTATCTGCCAGGCTCAAACGACCAGTTCCTTTTCTCTTGACTGCTATTGGGTTGGATCTTTAGACTTTAACTTTTTGGGAAATCAAGTTGGGTTTTCCACTAAACCACCACCAAGTTAAACTTTTTGCAGGGGGTCAACTGCAACCAAGTTCTTGCCGTTAACAGGGATGGTCATGCACCTGGTAGTAAGGGTTCTTAATGACCATTGCAATGATGAAGGGAACCATGGCCATACGCCATAGGAGTTTTGACCACACATATAGCACGCTTGTGCGTGTGAAGTGGGGATCATATCCACTAAGTGCAACCAGTGTTGAACCCCACAATTTCATAAACCTATCCTACTACTATGGGGTGTACCCGTACAGTGAATCCCCACAAAACCAAAAACACCCCCCCTTTTAATCAACCAGGGCTTATGAATCCGGGGTCAACATCAAGTGTTCTGACTGTTTTGGGGGTTCTCATTTTCTGTTTGCCCTTGCGAGGTCGAATATTTGTTCTGCATTGGAGGTCCCGCCTTGGATGGGGTCTGCATGACCAGCGAGCTGGGCAAGCCAAATTCGGCACTTCCAGGTTGACATCGCTTCTCCAGCCACATCTGCAAAAAGGAACAACACGGGCCTAAACAATTGGAATCTGGTTGCCAGAATTTTCCCAGACTAAGTCATGATGATAAACCTGACACATGGGTTGTCATGCTGAAAAACATAGTTATTTAGCCCCTTATATCAGTTCCAAGTCCGAATCCAGGAAGGCTGAAAGGACAGAACTGGCTTGGCTGGGGGGCGGATTTGAGCCCCTGGTTCTTACAAAGAGTAAGCAAACCCACACTCGGAACACCCAAACCACCAGTCCAAACCATCAAACCATCAGCGAGACTGACCAGTTGCGAACTCCCAATGTGGAACCGAGCAGAAGTAAAGCGGTCTGCCAAGGGCCTATTGGAATGGGATTCTTCCATTCGCTTTCTTGTTTTTCAATGACTGTTCCCTACATTTTTCCTGGGTGGTTCTGGAGGGAATCGATTTCACTACTGGTAATATGATTGTTTATTTCTCCCGGGAGGCTGAAGCAAATGGAGGTCTTCTCAATTCCGCCTTTGGGGCACAGCATATGGTTTTATTGCTTGCTCCATAGGCCCTTCATCCGAAGGCCACAGGGATAATTGACCAACTTCTTTTCTTTGGGCAAATGGCTTCGTCTTGTTTTGGTTCCCTTTTTTGGGGTCAAGGGGAACACTATGCGGAGGAGATTCGTATCGTATCTACTTCCATTCGACAACTCAGAGGAAGCCTTCCGTGTCGCTTTCGCAACCCACACGCCCCACACATCTTGACGAGAGTGCGCTGGAGCAACTCTGCCGCTTGTGGGAATTGACCAGTCCCCCTCTGCCAAGGGCATTCCGGGTTCCATGTTCAACCGGAACCGGAGTGCTGTGTGTAGGACGTGTTATTGGTCCATGTCCCGTTTGGGGAAGTCGTTTTGGAGGTGTAGAGCCTGTTTTTTTCATCTAGGCTAATATTTGTTGGCCATTCTCGGCAGCTTGTTGAGACACTGGGTTTTCCTATGTATCCCACTAAAGAGTTTCATCTTTTAGCAGAGGATCTACGAACCACTCAGATATGCCAAGGTATGGTCCTCTTACCTATCAAACACTTTTTTGAAGGCCTCATTAGGGGAATAGGCTTTTCTCGGGCTCATTCTGGGATAGCCCCCACAATTTGCCCTTGGAGGTCCATGATATATATATATATATGTAAATATGTGTATATATATAATTATATAAATATATATATATATACATATATATATATATGTGCGTATATATATATATATATATGTACAAATGAGGGTTGGGTTTGAAGGGAACCAACAGGAAACTCGGGAGTCCTTTTCCAGATTTTGCATCGGCTTGTCCCGGTCTGAGTCAACATATTCTTGGCCCAACAAATGATAGGTTTTCCTCTTGGTTTCCCTTTAAACCAAGAAACCGTCTTCAGCAGATTCTCCAGGAAGTCAGCCAAAGACCAAGGGTGTTCGATGGTTTTTGCAGACCCTTGACAAAAGAGAACATCGAGCCACCCATACTGTGGATGGTTTCGCGAAATCCAGAAATCGCCCCACCGAACTCAGAAACCCAAGGGAATGATAAACGATTCCCCCACGTAAATACCATAGCAAGCGCTTTGGTTTCCTTCCCATGGATTCTCTCAGCCGGTGCGATTTCTGGATTTCGCAACAATCAACAACCCCTGGAATGATAAACGACCAACGTCATAGTTTCCTTCCCATATGTCTCTCTTCGCTGGTGCGAGCCTCGACGCGGAAATTTCGTCGCCTCCCTCGAGCCGAGGCACTACGCGGCCCTGGCGGGGCAGGCGGATCTGGTCCAGGAGCTCGTCGCGGCTGGGGCGGATGTCTGGTCCGAGAACTGCTTCGGGGAGACCGCTCTGCAGGCGGACGCGGTGGGCAACGCATCGCTCGGATCGAGAAAAGCCGCGAGCGTTCTCGGCGAGAAAAGCCGAAAGACGAGAACGCCTGGATGGGCCTAGGATATGTTATGGGGATGGTAAAAACGAAATCTACGTCGCAGCACGAAATGAAACCATGATGTATTTACAGTGGAAACACCATTCCAGGGTTTCTTAGGTGGTGATGGATTTCGTTCATTCACAGTATGTTGTGGAATCCCTGAGGTGGGTACCAGGGTGGGTGGGTAGTTGAGACCTGTATATAGGGTTCCTTAGGTTCAGGGAGCCAAAGGTTTAAACCCAGAGATGACCAGAAAAAGCTGCCGGGATCCCTAGGTTGATTGAGGCAATAGCATGAGTCAGGTTGCCCTTTTGCCCTTGGCAGGGTAAGCCATCCTGTGGATGGTTGCAACATCCATTTTCGCAACCTCGAAATGAAGCGTTCTGGTTGTTGAAACCAAAACGTTTGTTACGGTACTTCCAGGGAATCCTCATTCCAGGGGTCTGAACGGGGTGGGTCGTTGAGAGCCCAGGAACAGTTCCTGGCCCTAAATATGGGATTCTGTAAATATGGGCTCCTGTTGGCATCGTTTTCCTGTTGGTGTTCCGGTGTTCCTTTAAAACCGCAACGAGGGGTACCGAGCCTCAACAAAAGGACACACCCATACAGAACTCAATCAAGGAATCGGTGGTACCCTCCAAGACATCGCAAAGGGCTTGCCAAGAAACCAACCAACCCCAAATGGGCGCCAAGTCTTGTTTCGTCGTGGCGACTGGGCTTCCGAGCTTAAAAAAGGTGCGCTACGGGATAGTGAGCTATTTGCCTTGGTGGTCATTCAAGTACCGTAAGCTCCGAAATTCCGACATATGCCCCCAGAAAAATATTCATGACGAGTGCCGAGAACACCTCAAAAGGGTTTCTTTTCTGGTCGGTGGCTCTACTGATTTCATGGGGCTTATACTAACTGTATGAATCTTTATAAGCCATCGTTGTAGAGCCAAACGTCAGGGTGTCTGTCCTTTCAAGAGGGACAACCCCCCAAAAAAAGGCATCGGTTTTCCTTCTGGGTGTTCCTTCGGACCCACGAACAAGGGGCCCCCTCAACCAAACAGACGCACTTGAAGGGTCAGGGTACTTAGGAAGTGGTTTGCAAGCCTAGTTATAACCCACATGGGAGACTTATAACCCTGGTAAGCGGGTTATAACCAGGCTTTCTAACCACTTACCTGACGTACCATGCCCCTTGAAGCACCCGTGCCCCGTAGCGGGTCGATCCGGCTTTTTCGGATCGAGCGAGAGCAGGTGGCCATGCAGAACCCGGGGGCCTTCGTGGGGGTGAACACCAGCAAGGTCTGCAAGGCGGATGGTTCAATCGGGGCAGAGGATGCGACGCGTTTTCCAGTGGAAGTCAACGGAAGTGGACGACGTTTTGGGAGGCGCTTACCCCGAAGAGGAGAGTGAAACTGTGGATGACCTTTCAGAAACTCTGGAATGAAATACCAACAAACTTTCCAGTGGTAGTGTTTACCCAAAAGCACAGTGAAACTGTGGATGGTTTCGCGAAATGCACTTCGATTTCACCACCGAACTCAGAAACCCAACGGAATGATAAACGATTCCCCAACGTAAATACCAACAAGCATGATGGTTTCAACCATGGTTTCTTAGGTGGTGCGAAATGGATTTCGTCCATCCACAGTAGTCCTCCCAAGCCCTGTGCACTTCCATTGCTATAAAGATCCCGCCCAATCTTTAACCTTGAACACTTTTTGGGCAAATAAGGATTTGTCCACTAACTTGCGAGGATATGAGAACTCTTTGGGCAGGGGGTAATAGCCATCGAGCTTTTCAACTACAGGCTCCAAAAGGAGGTTGGTGCCAGCGAACAGTGACTTACCCCGCGTCGCAGAAGTTCAAAACCCTTCTGTCAACTTAGTCATAAGAAAGGGCATGAACCACCTTTTGTTCAAACTAGCCTCTAAATTTCATACTGTGGATGGGCAAAATCCGACACCACTTTGAAACCATGGTTGAAACCATAGCGTTGGTTGGTATTTATATACAGGGGAATCATCATTCCAGGTTTTTTAGGTGGTGCAGGAGTTCGCCCATTCACAGTTTCCTCGGTTACCTCCAGCCACTTGTTAATAGCTGGGGCAACTGGGGTTCGTGGCATTAAACCAACAAAAACGGTAGCCAGACTTGTTGTGGTCTCCACGGCACGGCGCGAGCAGTAGGTGCTCTGGCCAGGTCTGAATCGGTCTCGAGAAGCATCGCGCTTCTCCACGCCGTCGCCTTAACACAAAAACTAGCATCAAGCGTTCCATAGTTTCCTTGGGTACCCTCTCTCCCACTAACACGGCACCTGAAAACAGGTCCCTCCAAGAGGAGTTTGATCTTCCAGGTACCCTCCCACAAGTGCCATGTTAGTTGGAGGGAGGGTACCTACTTTTGCAACTTCTTGCATGTTCAACCCAGGTTACAACCAAGGTTATAAATGGGGTGTCTGGAGATCGTTGGCTCCCAGCTGCTTTTGTGAGGGCTGAAAAAGCTGCACTCGTAGCTGCCAGGTCCTCAAGGGCGCCACCAAGACGATCCCTGCGTCTCGGAAGAACGGGGCGCTTGGGCGGTGTGGATGGATGCGCGAGTCCGCTTCTCGCGAAATCCAGAATTTTTCTGAAACCGTGGGAATGAAACCATAACGTTGTGGATGGACGAAAACCAGTTCGCACCACCTACGAAAAACCATGGTTGAAACCATAAGGTTTGTTGGTATTTTGCGTAGCGTTGCTCATTCCCTTGGGTTTCTGAAAGGCGTTGACCTGGCGCTTTTCCAAACGTCTGATGCTTCTTTAGTGTTGTCAACTACCGACCAGACCGCCTCTCATTTGTTTTGCGCCATAGACAGAGATCCCTAGGACCTTCCGTCCTTGAAATGTGAGACACGTTCAGATGGGTACCGACCTCACGTTTTGGGGGCTTGTTCCTCAGGAGAAGCACCATCAATAAACCGCCTAGGCTCCAAGCCATCAATCCAAAGCACCTTGCTACCAAACCACTTCAAAACCTAAGTCTTGTCCATGAGGAGAAGCACCCCCTAGCCGAGGGTTCCCTGAAGAGCCTTTGGGAATCCCTCCCCTGGACCATCAAATCCGAAGTCTTTTCCCCACCCACTTAAACCCTAAGGCCTTTCCAGTCCAAGCCACATGTTTTTGTGTTCCCCAGGTTTCCTAGAGAGATTTTGGGAATCCTTCCTGGACCAGCCCCCCCTCCCCCCTGCAAGAGAAGCACCCCATAGCCGCATGGACCAGCCCATGGGATTCCAGAACTTTGCCTTGAGGAGAACCAGGTCTTTTCCCTAGGTGTCCTTCCCTCCCGTTGGGACCCCATGAAAATTTCCAGAAAAGGTTTAAGCGTTCCCGACCAAACCCCGTGAGCAGGACCACCTACAACACCACAGTTGTTTTAGGCTCCCAAGGGAATCCCCTTGAACCACTAGGGAATCCCCTTTTTTTTCCAACCACTTAAAACCCTAAGTCCTTGCCATGAGGAGAAGCACCGCCTAGTCTCCAACCATCCTTTCTTTTTAGGAGGGTTGCCTAGGGAATCTCCCCTTGGACCATGGGATTCCCATGAGGAGAAGCACCCCCTCCAACCAATCCAAACCCACTACAAACATTTTGGACATCTCCCTCCAACCTCCGAACCACCCCCTTTAAATCCTTTCCCAGCAAAAAATCCAGGAATTTTCAGGCGTACACCAAATCCCGTGAGGAGAGGCAGGCCTTCGAGCTCTTCCGCGCCTTCGTCAAAGACCCGCCCCGCAACTCCGCGGACGCCTCCGCGGGCTCCGCGGCGGCCGCGGCGCGGAAGCTGAAGCGCGGGGGGAGCCGCGTGGACCCTTGAGCCGCGTCAGGCGCGCGTCAGGCGCCGCGTGAGCCCGCGGCCCAAGGAGTCCCCATGAGCGGCCGATGTTGGGCCGACCAAAGTCGGCCCCTGAAAAAAACGGGGGGAAGAAACCCATGGCTGGAAATGAAGAAGGGGGCAAGACAAAGTTGAAGAAATGGATTTGTGTGTGTGTGTGTTTCCGCGGGCATGGCAAATTGTGCCCCCCACATCCCCACAATGATTTAGGTATACGTACAAACCACGGGGAGACCGCCTAATCGGGGCGGTGATCCAAGTAGGAGAGCTTTCTTTGTCCTCAATTGCCGAAGCTGCGTGCGCTGACATTCCCACGTCTTCAGCCGCGGCAAGGAGATTTTGGTGCAAACAGCAACTCCGAAAAAACATGGAAATGATCAGCAAGCTCCAGCGGCAAGGAGGCACGCGCGCGTAAAAACGAGCGTTTGCTCGCTTCGGCCGGGGTGGTCCTGGAGAAGATTCACCAGTTCGCTGCCAAAACAACAGCCCATGGTTGTTCGACCTGAAAAATCCACCAGGACCGCCCTGTGCTCAACTAGGCTCCAAGTAGTCGGAAAGCTGTTGAAAAGTGGGGTGGTTTTGACCCCACTGAGCTCACTTCCCGAGTTGGGACTATATGCTTGGCAAGGTCATTTTGCTTGAAGAACTTCAGAACTTCCTTTGGGTTTTCAATCTCAGGTGCCAGCGTTCCGTGTTCGGACGGCCGCATTTGCCTCGACTGTCAGAGGGCATCGAGGCTTCATAGGCGAATTGACGGGCGGGGCTGTCCCTTGAAACCTACCTGTTATGACCATTTTTAGGTTTTTACGGGCAAAACAGCTGATCCACTAGTAAGTAAGTCATTTGTAGGGTCAAAACAGGCGATCCACTTGGACGTTCAACCTACTGAGTAAGTGGGTTATGACCATGGATGCACGTGCACAAAATGGGGTTGCTTGTAATCATAGTTATACCGTAGCTACTAAGTGGGGTGACCATCCAAGTACAAGGGTCCAAACTATCGAATGTCATTGTGGGAGTGGCTACACCATGCCCGGGTTGGTGTCCACTTAGCTTCTTAAGGCATGGTTTCAAAGGAGACCATTAGTGGGTATGTGTCACCAATAGGCTTGGTTGGTCTCCCTGACCGGTGGTTTCACTTTTGTTTCCCCCATACACTCAAACAAAAAAAAAGGTGAGTGTGTGTGTGTGTGAGAGAGTGTGTGTGTGTGAGTGTGTGTGTGTGTGTGCGCGTGTTCTTGAGTTGGTGCCCATTTTTTGTGGCAAATTTGAAGAAACCAAAAAGGACAACTTTGGCGGGTCCAAGTCCTAAAACCAGACATACCAATCGCTCAGACATGACGACTAGGGCAAGAGGGTCCACCCTTCCAAAGAAGGCCTCCAAGGACCTTCACTCAACTCACCCCCCGAGTTCCTAGGCTTATGTCCTTTTTTGGACCCTTTTGGGGGCAAGCAACAGTTTGGTTGCCTGGACCCTCAAAATTCCCTTAAATTTTGGCAAATCTACTCGAGAAGTGAGGCTCTCCGAACAGCGGCACAAGGGTCCACCCTGCTCCATGTCACGCTTGCCCAAGGCAGCAGACAAACGCAAAAAGTTGCGCGTTTCCAGTGCCACGCAGGGGCAAAGTATGGACTTCGCGGCTGCTTGAAAACCAGGTTTGGCCTCTCCCGGGGCGGTACGGGCAACAGAACTGGCCTGAAGAAAGACGTATTTTGGGTGTGTCGTGTTTTTTTTGGGGCCCCCCCTACACCGCTAAGACATGATGGTTTTCCCTTTGGCTTCCCCTTACAACACACCAAGAGGGGGTGCCCTCAAAAAGTTGGCCGCTTTTGGCCGCTGATCCTACAATCCTTTGTGAAGGAAGTGATGGCACATGGCCGGGCAGTCTGAACCAAACATTCTTTGTGGATCGGATGGCCTCAAGGCTTTTACTTACTCACTTACTTGTTTGCTTACTTACTTGCTTGCTTGCTTGCTTGCTTACTTACTTCTTTCCCCCTTCATGATAGATCCTTTGAGTTTTGCCAGGGTGGCCTTTTTGGGCTCCATTCTTGTAGGCGAGCCAGGCACGTCCTGTGCTTTGGGGCTTCAAATCCCCATGATTGAGGCAAGCCACATATGTTTCGGGGTTCCAAACCCAAAACCCCTCGTTATTCTAGAGTGATCGGGCCTCAAAGCATTCACTCCAAACCAAGAGCTTCCTCTATTCTTTTTCTTGTAGGGTAGACTAAATACTGTGGGCAAAATTCTGCCCCACCTAAGAAACCATGGGAAGGAAACCATAACGTTTGTGGATATTTACCTTTTGGAATCTTACCATTCCAGGGTTTCTTGTGTGCAGGAATTCGTCCATCCACAGTACCTCAGTGGGCCAAGAACTTTGCAGCGGCCGGTTGAAGTCTCCCCCTGCTAGACATGGACGAGCGTTCCGCCATGTCCGGCTGGCAAAAAGCGGCGGGGGATAACACAGGGGTTTTATATGAGGTCGTTTGGTGAGGGTAGCCTTTTCAGGTTGCTTTCAAGAAGGAAACCAAAACTTGTTTTGGGGTCCCCTATTTTAGCCAGCCATGCTATCTGGCCTGGGGTGTCTTTGGTGTGACCCCAGGCCCTTAGACGTTTTGGGCACTTTTGGGACCCCCCCAAACAACAGCAAAGCAAGGAAAGAAGCAAAGAACAAGAATCAAAAAATGGGTAATTGTCTTGTTTGTGTCCCTTGAAAGCCACAAAAACGGGGTATCCTAAGAAATGACATACCCACATGGCTTCTCAAGTAAACCTACAAACAGTCGATCACTAGCGTTGCTCAGGCTTCACGGAGCGATCGATCTCGGCTTTTGTCGGGAGCGTTTCGATGTTCGAAGCCGCAGTTTAGCCCAAAGGTAGATGGACGAGTCATCCATTTCGCACCACTTTGAAACCTATGGTTGCAACCATAATTTTGTTGGTATCTCACTTCCTGAGTTGGTGGACTTTAAACTTTTTGGGTTTGGACCATTTTAGTGGTAAATAAACAGTTCAGACTTTTTTTGGCCAGTCAACTTGGGAAGTGAGGTACTTGCGTTGGGGAATCATACCCTTCATTCCTGCGGGTTTTGCGATTTCCGGGGTGCGAGACTCGCTGATTTCAGTCGCTCCTATGATTCTCCCCCAGTTTGCACTGGTCCTGGAGCCGATTCTTGAGCCGAGGGTCCCGAACCAGAAATGGGGGTTCCGTTTTTTGCTTTCCCTTTACGCCAGCCTGAAAGGGCACCCTCAACAAAAACGACTAACACTCCGACCTAGATAGCCAAGTTGCTGCTTTTTTCAGTCACTGTTGCTGGTTTTCGGGGGAAAGTGCATGGAGGAAAAACGATCGCAACTGGCGATCCAGGCATTTACGGAAATGTCCGCCGCCGCCCATTGTTTTGGGGACTGGCCCTAAGATTCATCCGAACTTTGGCTGCGAAGAATCGGGTCGCTGGCATCGGCATCAGCTTGGGTCCCTCGAAACCACTCTGCCAGAGATTTGTGCCACAAATCGAAAAACCCGGGCGCGTTATTTTCTTTTTTTCTTTTTTCTCGGAGTTCCTGAAGCATGTTGGGTCGACCATGTCAAAACCAGGTTTTGAGTGTGACTCATTTCCCCCCCAAGGCCTACCCCTTTTGGGTGCGGTCGTTCGGGTCGGGTGACGGGCCTCCAAGGCTGCCAGGGCCTCATTTTCCAACTGCTCCGGCGCAATTCTCACCCCCCCCCCCCCCCACTTTTTGCTTTTTGATCATCCCCTTTTGGGGGGTGAGGCCCTGGGCTGTAAGCTTCCTGGGAAGACCATTTTCGGTTCGCAAAAACTTTGGAGTCCTTTTGGCCCATTCGACAAACTACTGTTTTAACCACCACCTTGTGGTTCGGCTGTTGAAGCCTAGGGATCAATTCCTTGGTTCTGCCACACCCCAGATATTTGGGTCCTTCAAACAAGTCCCGAGGGCCCAGCATCTGGGTACCCGGGTACCACTTTCTGGGCCACAGGTTAAGCATTCTCCTTTTGGTGGCCGTTTCACTTAGTGGCTCCCAGCCATCCGGTTCCTCAGCTTCTTCGCCTTTTCGTGTTTAGTGGTAGCTTCCGTATGTAACCCGCACTCAAAGTTGTCCACTTTTCGCGGGGGATCTGCGGGCAGGAAGGTTCAAACCCCCGGTTGCGAGCAGCTTTCAGGTGGCCTTTCAGCTCTCTCTGGTGCTGGGGGTCTTCCGTTTCCTACCCCTAGCCCTACGTCTCAGTTGCTTTCGACGGGACCCAGAAAGAAAAGCCTGACCTTTTGGGCCATGACAAAGAAGGACGAAGGCAGAGGAGGCTGAAATCTGGCAGAACCGGATCCATGTCCCTTCTAAACCCAGGGATCCGTTTTTCTTTCTAGAAAGCCTCCGGACACCCACAAAAAACGGATCCGGTGCTCGAAAAGAACGATGGTTGGAAAGAATGGGCAAGGAGTCAACCCTTTCAGCTCTCCTTTTTTTGCGCCTCTCTCGAGAGAGGCGCACACCGAGCTCGTGCGGGTCAAGGAGGGAGTGGCAAGTGAACTCCTGGAGTCTGTGAGTGTCCAAACTCATGATTTTTTCGCACCACGAAATTTGATCCATGGTTGAAACCATCACGTTTGTTGGTATTTACGTTTATTTCCGTTGGGAATCGACAGAGTTCGGTGAGATTGCGATGGATTTCGCGAAACCATCCACAGTAAGTGTCCACACGGAGGGCCAATCCAAGAGTTTGAGGATGGATCCTGAAGGGCAAGCGCCCAGAATCCATAGATTCACAAGCCACACGTACCGGGGTTGGTGCTATGACCACCCCACTCAGTGGTTAAAAGCCAAGACAAGTGTCTTGAGTGGGTTTACCCCACTCAGGGTGCTTATTAACTATGGGGGTATGAACACGTACTAGATGGCGACCGCGGGTTTGGCGAGATCCTACTTTATTGGCTTCCCAACCGGCTCTCACTTTTAGCCTTTTCGATTTTCCTTAATTCTCAACAAACAAAACGCCGTTGTTCTTTTTTCTGCCGGGAGGGGGAGGGGGAGTCTGTCCCAGACATCAATGCCATTGACTCCAGACGACTGGGAAATGGGTCAAA